CTAGAGACTATAGAATTTAACAAAACAGCCAAAGTCCTGAATAGGAGGAACCAATGTAGAAAAGTGAGTAGGAAATATTTGTGGCTGTTGGATAGGCTTAATGAGAGGAAGAAAGACAGAGTGCAACAAAACCCCTTGAACAAGAGGAGGCTGAATTGGCCTCGAGTCTAGCTCGGACTATCACACTTACCATGACATGAATATTACATACACACAATAGGCAATAGCACTAGCCCAAACATGATACAACATTAAAGAATCGTACACTAGTTTATTTGCGTAAGGATACAGCTGCCAGCAAACACACTTCCGGTTCGGGAAGTAACTTCACTCATTTTCAAGCATGTAGAGGAAGGCTGAAGTAGCTAACCAAATCATGAGATGCCTCATTAAGATTGCGATGTTCAGATGTAAAGAAGAAGGAGAACCACTGTTACTAGTAATCAGCAATGAGAATGTAGCAACACATATGCTAGCGAAATTCACCTCGGTCAAATGAAAGGAGGCGAATCACAGACTATCGAATAAGGCAAAGAAGTCAGGAATTTTATCAAAGAATCAGTGTCATTAGAATGTCGGGAACCGAACTCTTAGTGATATTTGATATGCAGGCTGTGTACAAGAACAAAGCAGGAGAGAAAATGCCCACTGCACTGCTTGAGATCTTGCAAATAGTGTACGATATTCTGAAGACAGAGCAAAACCTAAAAGTTTCTAACACTATTGATTCACCTGAAGATAAAATCCACTTGTTTTACACTCAATTACCGTATCTTTAAACGGATATTTGCTCTGCCTAAGGGCTAACCACTCACATCTTGGTTGGCTAATGTCCACATAAGCAAATTGGAGATGCATTTCAAAATGTCATCTCAGCAGCTAACATTAATTATGCGATACTTTGATGGCTACCTTGTAAACTGGTCGCATGGAGCATAAAAATTGAGCGAATTTCTAATCTCATTAAACAATATTGATGGTGAAGTTCAATTTACAATAGGTGTGAAAGGTAACGGACGCTTACCATTCTTGGATATATAAGTCATTCATTGCAAGAAGATTTGTATTAAAATATTGCCTAGAAAGAAATCAAGTACAGGAATAATCCTTAATTTCAAGTCTCACAATAAGTACAGACCTGGCAATCGTATACTCAGGAGTATAATGATAAGAGTGCTAAGCCTAAAGGCTAAAAACTTCAGGGAAGATAAAACTGAGGCAGACGCGTCCGGATATCCAAAATAAATAATCCAACAAAACATACAGTTAGTGAATGTCATATGGCAGGATGAGGATTATGAAAGGAAAATAAGGGGGATACAGGAAAAAATGATTGAAGCTTCTGCCCTACTGCAAACTTGGCCAGAAGCTATGACCACTGATGATTAATTGAAACATTCATAAGATCTCGAAGGAAAGGACACTGCTCTTCCCAAGCTTGGCTATACGGTATAAGAGAGTGAACAAAATGGAGTGCTCTAGAGGTTAATCTTTAAATTGCAAGGACTATAATAAAGAGTATATTAAAGAAGCCGGAAAGAGAATTAAATTTACTATTACTATCGAAGATTTGAGGACCAAGATGGTGTGGTCTCCTTTCGATTTATAGAAGTGGGTTGACCTCGGTGTCACAACTTGGTCTTGCTGACTGGGAGACTTAGCAGAACACACCCATTCCAAGATCCTCTGTCATAGTATGTATCGAAATTCCCAGCCTCAGACAGTGGACTTGGTACATTCTCAAACGTTTCGCCGGCATCTTAGTCGGCATCATCAGTGAGTACGGCCATTCTCCTCACCAAGCTACTAACAAGTCAAAGAGATAAGTGAATTCAATTCCTTGACAAACGTTCTACCGAAAAAGGTTACACTATTACGGCAACCGTCACAGGAATTCGACTTTATGACCAAAATGTACTAGAAATGGTATAGAATCTATTTATCACAAACTTTTACTCAAAATGGAAGGAAGCTCTACAAATTCCCATCAATAGATTCCTAAAATCCCCACTTGACCTCACATAAACTAGATAATCATAATAACTAACCTTTTACAAGAGCCACTTTTACTCCCTCTATTCACTGGTGATATAGTACTGCATGAAGGAGCCGAAGATTCCAAGCCTTGGTATCCCTCTCTCATTGGCGAATTCCTCTGTTCAGCGTCTTGTTCTTCCTGCTCAACATGAACTATTCGTGACTTGATATCGGGGAGTAGTGATGTGGCAACAGCACCTAAATTATCCTGGCTTACTACGTCAACATCTATTCCGGATGACTCATTTTGCCGATTTTCTGACATATATTGGCTTCTTCCGCTCATCGAGTCGTTCACCTGCTCGCTGCTATACGTAACTAATGCTGCTGCCGCTTTTAGACCAGCCTGCCAACACATTAGATGTGTCCGCAAACCGTTCCAATCAACCTGTTGTATCCGGTGTTTTTGCTCCGGACTCGCTAGACCTGCAAATCTGATGAGCATCAGGGCATCAAATCGTTCACGCAAATGCCCATCGGTGATAGCAGACGCCTGGAGGCCAAGATTATGGTCACTACTCTCTTGGTCAAGGCCATAGGCATTCTCATTCTGACCAACGGTCACTTTGTCCATCCTAAAGGTCGCTTTGGCCCCAGCTGTTGAAGATAACTGCGAGAGCAGCTGATCTATGCAATGACCCGGCAGACAATTTGCCAACTGGCTTATCCACGCGTCAAGTTGGCTTAGAATAGGAGCCAAGTGGGAGGCCACACCAGTCTCACCAATTAGATGAAGATCGGCGAAACGTAGAGAGATGGAAATCGTCTGGACACGAGTTAAAATTGGAGAGGATAGTAAGGCAAAAGGATTATATTGTGGCCAGGAAGTTCGATGAATGCAAAAGTTTAAAGCAGATACAGGAAGGCGTAGATGTTACGCTTGAAAATACCATCTCATACTACTGATTTACTGGTAGTCGCGAAACTCTACTCAAATACGAAAAATAAGTAACATAGTCGATTGTTATAGCAAGTATACGTTTGCTTCATCGACAATCCCACCAAAGAATGTCATATGACAAAAGGCCTGGCCATCCATGAAATTCACATTTGCCCTATGACCCAAGGTCACTTGTGGCAATATTGTCGAGTGGTTAACGTGTCAAGCTCCCATTCTGCACTGTCACGAAACTGCAGTCCATCCTGGATGAGAAAGGCTATGTTAAAGAAGTGGGTTGACCTCGTTGTCGCAATTTGGTCTTGTAGTCAGGGAGACTATGTAGAACGCACTTAGTCCGAAGTCGTCTGCCATAGTAGTTGTCATGATTCCCAGCATCCGACAGTGGA